CTATCATGACGTTTCCATCATTACACCTTTTCCTTTGACGGTTGCTTCCAAGTATAAATATAACTTTTCGTCTTTGTCTTTCTCATAAAAAGTTTTAGAATATTCAATTCTAGTTTTCTTCTTCCTCGTACTACTATGTCTTCTTCAAACCCTAACCCTCGAATAGTCCCCATTGTTGATAACCTTCCTCTTGCTCCTGTTAGAAGTAGGAGAGGAGGAAGACTTCGTAATTTAAGGTCTTCATCGTCACGAGGCCCTTCTATTCATTCAGTGAGTTCTACTCGACCTTCTAGAACTAGAGGTTCTCTTTCACAGAGGACTTCGTCTAGAAATAAAGACTCTAATGAACCTCTTCATGAGCCTTTGGTAGACAAAATTGTCCCTGCTGAATTATCTTTTTATACTGATAGAGAGTCAATTAGAAACCAAGTTTCTTCTATGTCTTCTTTAGATCGTGCTGATATTTACCCATCTCAAATCACTGAAGGTCTGATCTCTGTTGTTCGTAGGGATTGCCACTGGAGGTATGATTTCCCCATTATAATTCCCAATGAAACCAAAGGATTATATCTTACTTGACTAGGTTTTCTTTCGTATATACATACCTTTTACACTAAATTTCAAGTCCCCTATTGATCCTGTTATCATTGAATTCTGCCATTTTTTCAACGTTTGTTTAGGACAAATTGGCCTCATCATGTGGAGGGTTGTTGCTTGCTCGAGGCATTTAGACAATATGGCTAGTTTGCCTTTTACCTTCTTTCATCTGATTCATCTCTACTCTCCTAAACGTTTCCGCCAAGGTGTTTTTACTTTAGTAGCGAGAAGTAAGAGAGTACTGGTTAGCCCCGAGGATGATAAAGACTGTGGCTGGTATACCAGGTTTGTTTCCACCCCCACTGTTGGTCTAGTGGGTCAAGAAAATGTTCCATTTTCTGAAAAGTGGAATTTTGCATGTAATTTTTCTTTTTATAACTTTTTCTACCTTTTCCTCAATTTTGCTTGCTACCATTTTAACTTTTTCCTCTTTTTCAACAACCATAGGAACTGTTGATGAGATTCCCAATTTCCGTGGTTGGGTAGGAAAACTATTGAATATTGCTCCGACGGAAGGTAGATCTTGGAAAAACCTTTCACATTGGTTTGGTTGGAAAGTGAAGACTCATGGTAAATGCTTTTTCTCTTATATCCTTCGTACTTTCATTCTTTTTTCCTTTGGAATTTGTTTTGATCCTTCTTCTTATCAGGATTTCCTATTCGTGGTATAAGTGCTGATGCTGTCGTAGCTTCTAAAGTTTCTTTTGAAAGAGCTCAAGAGATAATCTTGGGTTCTTCGTCAAAAAGGAAGGCTACTTCAGTCCAAGATTCTGAAGAGGAGGAGGAACAAGATGAGGGTTCTTTGATAAAAAGTCCACGAGCCAAAAGACGTGTCTTTTCAGACGATGAAGCATCTCCTCTCCATTCTGTTCCCATTACCGAGCCTATTGAAGCCACCAGGGTGATCTCCAATAATGACACTCCCACAGCTGCTCGTGACTCTGACGATCAGCTTTTTGCTCATGGGATTGATAGTGACAATTTGGGTTTAGTTTCTGACAAAGTGCCCCTTGCCTCATTTCCATGCCTGCTCCTATGATGTCTTTTTTACCAATTGTAACTGCTTCCATTGCTGCTCCACCCCAAGTTGTTTCAACTCCTTCCACAGTTCCCCCTACAACTTTCCATCATACTGAGGTTGGTTCCTCAAGTGGAAGTGGAGCTATGAAGTAAGTTATCATCGAGGTTCCTGCCGATGGTAACCTTTTGAGAAAATCAGGTCGGGCTGATGTGTGGTTGAAACCTCTGATTAGTCCAGTTGAGAAATCCAAGCTTGAGAGTCACAACTCTTTAACTTGGATGAATGACATAATGCAGTCATCATTAAAGGTATTCCTTTTATTAAGGTTCTTACCCTTTTTAGATCAATCTTGTTGGCACAGGGATGATGAAGAGGGTTTCCCACATGGAGCAGTTAATGCATGATTATCAAATTGAAGCGGACAACTGGAGAGAACAATATGAAAGCCTTCAAATTGATATGGAAGTGTTAGAAGAGAGCACGTGCACCTTAGAGCAACAATTGAAGGTTTTGACTTTAGAGTTAGCAATTGAGAAGGCTTCCTCAAATCAAGCTAACAAGGACAAGAATCTCCTTGAAACATCTTTTTCTGAGCAACTCTCCAAGGCGAGTGAAGAGATCAAACAACGGAAGACTTTGCTAAGTGAGAAAGAAGTTTATGCCGGTGAACTTGTGCAAACACTTACTCAGATCCAAGAAGATCTCCGTGAGTCTTCTGATAAGGTCCGTTTTTTAGAAAGTTCACGTGCTCCTCTTCAAGCTTCTTATGATTATGCCTTGGCTGATAATGAAAAGATCAAAAATGAGATTGATCAATGAGAGAGAGATTACGAGATTCTTGAGGACAAGACTGCTATTGAACTGAGTTGGGCAATTTTGAACACACGCCACGATACCCTTGTGGAGGCTAGCCAAGAGGGTTTTAACTTGGATGCTGAGTTAGTAAAGATAAAAGAGACTATTGAAAAGACTCAGCAAGGCCAAGACTTTCCTTCTCCCATGGCTGATACTCCCGAGCACGTTGAAGATGATATGAGTACAGTGAATGCTCCAATTCCTTCAAGTCAACTCGAACCTTCTACTACTAGTGACACTGCTTTAGATCCTTCTTCAGCCTCTCAGTGAAAGCTTATGAAATGTGACTTCTTTTATTTTTCTTTTTGATGGAATGTGGTTTTAACCCTCAGTCCCATTTGAGGGTTTAGTCTTTTGAAAATGAAACGTCCCCAGACCTTTTCAGGGTCATTTTGTATAAATGACAATCAATTTATGACTAGGTTCATACTTAGTCTAAACTTTTAATATTAAAAAGTTTTTCTTTTAACTTAGTTATCTTGAGCTTCTATTTTGCTCGTTCTTGCCTTTATACTCAAGGATTTGTTAGTTAATTCGTGGGTTTATGTTTTACCCTTTTTGCATTTTTTTATAAAATGCTTTATTAACTTCATGAATGTCTGAATCAAACATGAATTTTATAAAAGAGGGCCCTTTATACTCGACACTTAATGAAGAAGACGTCTCAACTTCATAATGATGTAAATATACGAAAAAGAAATAGGAACACACGTGTTTCTTGAAATAACTTTGATAAAGTTTTCATCAGAACTTTGTCAAGTTTAAGTAACATCTTACATGTATTTAAATATCTTCTATAACTTTTCGTAACTATTTTGATTACAACAGATTTGCAAAAAAGGAAAAAAAAATCCAAGGTTTTTTTGTTTAACCCATGACTAAACATTGCCTTTAACATAGATATCATAAGATTGTTAAATCCGTATGAGGGTTTTTTGACTGGCTTGTGTTATTGGCTCGGGACTTTGCTCTGCATTTTTGATGAGTTGACTTTTGGGCTTTACTTGAATTTAACTTGCATTCAATCTTCTTTGCCTTCTTTATCCATATGTCCTATATATATTGTATAGTACCCCAAGTGTTTGAGCTTTGAAGTATGAAATCTCGAGCACTTGATTACTCCTATCACGCGGTCATTTTCCTGAAAAGGAAAATATACGGGACTCGGAGGTACGTTTTTAGATGAAAACTGCTTAACCCGTTTGAATTTCTATCAGAATAGTTGTAACCCTAGACCGGGAATTTATATTTTCCACGTGTCTTGCAGGTCGTGATTCATCACTTAGTATGGGTTAGTTTTTTGCCTATCATCTAAAATCACTAGTAAAATTTTAACAATTCAAAAATAAAATTTTAAAATGAGGGTACCTACCCATGGATACTTCTTTTCCTTAGAAATAGTATCTCTTCAGATGAACAACATTCCAATGTGAAGGTAAAATCTTGCCATCCATTGTTTCCAGCTCGTATGCTCATTTTCCTACGATACCGTGAATCTTATAAGGTTCTTCCCAAGTTGGACTTAACTTTTCCGCGTTAGCTGCTCTCATGGATTGAAAAACCTTCTTGAGTACGACGTCCCCATTCTTGAAGTATCTTAGGCGAGCTTTCCGATTATAGTATCGTTCCATAACTTGTTTTTGTGCTGCCATCCTTATTAATGCAGCTTCCCTTCTTTCTTCAAGTAAATCTAGGTTTATTTGCATTTCCTCTTCATTAGATTCCTCAGTTGCTTGTGTATATCTTGTGCTTGGCTCCCCTATCTCGATTGGGATCAAGGCTTCAGCTTTATATACAAGTGAGAACGGTGTTTCTCCCGTACTTATTTTTGCGGTTTTGCGGTGAGCCCATAAAATACCCGGTAACACCTCTGGCCAATTGCCTTTGGATTCCTCCAATCTTTTCTTCAAATTGTTAATAATGACTTTATTCATTGATTTAGCTTGTCCATTGTTAACCGGATGGTAAGGTGTTGAAGTAATTCTTTTAATCTGCCAACTCTGAAAAAATTCTGTGATTTGTGCGCCTATAAATTGCGGGCCGTTATCACATACGATTTCTTTTGGTACGCCGAATCGACATATGATATTTCGCCAAATGAAATCTCTAACCTCTTTTTCTCATACCTGTTTAAAAGCACCTGCTTCTACCCACTTAGTAAAGTAATCAATAAGTACTAACAAAAATCTTACCTTGACTTTTGCTTATGGTAGTGGATCCACGATATCCATCCCCTACTTCATAAAAGGCCACAGTGCAATGACCGGATGTAATAACTCTGCAGGTCTATGCATATTGTTACCGCATCTTTGGCACTTGTCACATTTAGCTACAAAATTTTCTTCTTCTTCTTCCATTTTGGGCCAATAATAGCCTGCTCTAATCATGGTTTTCACTAAAGATCTTCCTCCTGCGTGATTTCCACAATGCCCCTCGTGTATTTCTCTCATCACATAATCTGTTTGAGAAGATCCGGTGCATATTGCTAGGGGAACACCGAACATTTTATGATAAAGATTGCCTTGCTTTAAACAGTACCGAGCAGTTTTTTACGAATCGCGTGAGCCTTCTTCTTATCTTCAGGGACAATTCCATACTACAAAAAAGTAACAACCTCGTTCCTCCAATCCCAAGTTAATTTACTGAAATTTACCTCATTTTTGTCTTGATCAAGTACTGAATGGAATAAATGAATTATAGAAGCATTTTCATCATTTGTCACTTCCGCTGCAGATGCAAGATTAGCTAACACCTGTGACTTTATTGCAGTTCTAAGTTAATATGTGATGTCATATTCACTTAATTCTAGGTTATTGCATTTTCTTCTGGTTCTTGAATGGAATCGGGCCTCGAGTCTACATCCGTCCGCCCGTGTTCAGTTGAGGCTTGTGTTGCAGCATCCTCAACTAAATTCTGTAACTGCTAATTTTCTTCATTTTTTGGGCTTGAATCTGCTACAGAGTTGATGCTTCTAGATGTCTATTGATCACCACAGATTTGACGTATCCCCCATTGTGAAGGGAATTTAATAACTTGATGGCACAACATCCATTTCGTGGATCCATGGTCTATCATATTATAAGTCATATCCATCTCTACCACCTGAAATTTCGTATGTTTGAGAACTCCTTCTGCGAATGTTGTAAGTATTACCTCCCTTTTTGTTACGACGCTTGAATTGTCAAAGCCAGATAAAGTATGCGCCTTGGGTACTAGCTTATCTTCACCTTGCATCTCGTTTAATACTCTTAGCAAAATGATGTTCACGGAGCTACCTAGATCAATCAAAACTCGTTTCACGTTAGTGTCATGTACAACTAGAGATATTACCAGTGCATCGTTGTGTGGAGTTAGCACGCCGTCTGCATCTGCATCATCAAATGTAATACTTTTTTCTTCCAAAACATGTCGGACCCGCTTCCTGTGTGTAATTGTGACCTTTGAAACTTTCTTGGCTGCCGTGTATGTCACGCCTTTAATTTCTTCTCCTCCGCTTATAACGTTGACGGTCCTTTTTGGAGAAGGAGGTTTAGGGGGCTCTTGCCTGTTCTTCATGTATGCTTGTTTACCTTTTTCACTAAACAATTCAGTAAGATATCCTTGTTTTAATAAATGGTCAACTTCACCTTGCGACAATCTACAATCTGCCGTTTTGCGACCATGATCATTATGAAACTCGCACCAGAAATCAGGATTTCGTCTATTTGGATTTGATCTCATTTCTTTTGGCCACTGCACCTTATCACCCATGCTTCTTAATACTGCTACTAATTCTGATGTGCTGACATTGAAATTGTAACCGCCAAATTTTTCCTTCATCGCGTCTCTCGTGCGTTTCGCTCTTTCCCAAACCTTGACGATGAGCCCAGCTCTCTATCTCTCGATATATGATCATACCTTGGATTGTCCTACTTTGAATGTGAGTCTCTTTCTGCTGTACCCATGTAAGGCTCATACTTATTTTTACCGGACCTTTTTTCAGTTTCAGCACGTCTCGAACTTACCCTCTCCTTTTTTTGAGACCGGGAGATGGTATCTTCTTCTATCCTCAGCTTCGTGCTATATCTATTGCAAATATCATTCCAAGTTGTCGCTGGGAATTCGCGTAGACTTTCCTTGAGTCATCTCGTGGCTTCTGAACTTTTCTCATTTAAATTACTGGCAAAAGCCATAGCTGCCCAGTTATCAGGTACGCGTGGTAACACCATCCTTTCACGCTGGAATCTGTCCACGAATTCTCTAAATAGCTCTGAATCTCCTTGATTTTTTTTGAAAATATATTTCATTCTTTTTTCGAATTTTTGAGCTCCCGAATGCACTTTGATAAATGAATATGCAAGTTCAGCAAAAGAATTTATAGAATTTTCGAGCAAAAGAGAATACCATGTTAATGCTCCCTTAGTGAGTGTTTCACCGAATTTTTTGACCAACACTGATTCAATTTATTGTTTGGTTAAATCGTTGCCCTTCACACCAGTTATGAATGCAGTCACGTGGTCTCTTGGATTAGTTGTGCCATCGTATTTTGGAATATCGGGCATCTTGAATTTCTTCGGAATCGGCAGAGGAGCAGCACTGGGCTTTCAAGGTTGTTGTGAATATTTATCCATATCTATTCCATTGATTACAGGTGGTACTCTAGGTATTTGCTCTATGCGATCGCTTTGCTCCTTGAGCTGTTTCTGCAAGGTTAATACTAAATTTTGTAAATCAGAATTAACTATGTTACCTGGTTCTCCATCATGAGACTCGCTGGGAGTTCCACCACTGCCTGAATTAACGAGTCCAGAACGTGAGTTTTCCAAAGTATTATTATTCGGAGTTGGTGTTGGAGGTGCAACCGACAACTGACTGGTAAAAGCCTGGAGAGCGTTATTGACCTATTGAGCAATTAATTTCTTCAGCGTCATCAAGTGCTTGTTCGTTCGCAACTCTGCCATTTTGATTTGCTTCAGATCCGTCTAGAGTCCCCTCTCGTGACTGTCGCTGAGAATGTTGTGGCGAAGGAGGCGGGGTTCTGTCATCCGCATCATTCACTTGATGATGTGGATCTTGAGGTGGTAAATTGTGTTGGTTATTGTCGTTGACATTCGACATAGTCATTTTTGATGAAAGAATTGATTTGGAAAGCAGACGATTATCAGATTCCCGATAACGGAACCAATTTGTTTAACCAAAAATAGGGATTTCGGTCAAAGCTTAATATTAGAAGAACTCGGGTTATTAATAATTAAATATAAGTAGAAAATATTGATGTAAATAACAACTGAACAGAAAGCAAAGTAAATCAGTATATTTTGATAGTATTTTGTATCCTTACAAATGTTCAGCCCTCAACTTTTATAGTTGTCTCTAAGTAATACATTTTGTTTCTCTCATAATAGAGTCTTTATGGACAATTAATGACATTTAATGTAACGTTACTATTGGTAATCATAACTGATTCAATACAGATTCCATAACGTTTTCCATAATTAATGCCTATTAATTACCGATAATACGTATCTATACCCTTTGCTATTTAGGTTCATTCTTTTGATATGACTTCTGAATATCAATAGGTTCGAGTGCCTTTCCTTTTTGTCTTCCTTGAATCTCTGTTCGTATCTGCTGAAGCTCGTACCTCTTCAACTATCCTTTGCCAACTATCATTCTTTTACCAGTCCACATGTCATGACATGTCAACTAATAATTAATTCTGTATATGAACTTAATTTTTTCCAATACACAAAGTTATAAAGATTACTTAGGGAGCAACTTGTGGCAAATAGATAGCTTACACCTGTGCGAATCATTTTCAAAGTGAATTTTGGGAGGTTGTTCTCTCAAAATAATGTTGAAATTATTTGAAGCGTTGACTCTAATCTTGCATTCTCTTATACCGTTTCTAAAACGGTTAATTGCTCATATTTGTCTATGGATGTAGCTGTAACGACATAACTACATAATATTTTGTGTCTCCTTTGGTGTATTTCTATTTGTTGCTTGGTAAGAAACAAGCTCTAGAAATGGAGGAACTCATTGTATGGAGCATTTCCTCCTTAAATTGGCCCAACGCAACGCGAATTTTAAATTAGTCGGAGCAATGCTTTTCAGATGCCAAATGGTTATTTAAAAAAAAAAGCGAATTGCAGCTCTTGCTCTACGCGTACTTAATCTTTTTTGTCAACCATTCTTTGGTGTGCTAGCTTGGCCAAGCTGACTCTAGCTATGTCTCATATGATTCGCCAACCTCGTTGCCTCTGGCTAGGGGTGTAAAACGGGCGGGTCGGATTGGATATGTAGTAAAACAATAACGGGAAAATAGCAATTACACTGCAATAATATTTATTGTAAGTAGATATACGAATTAACTTGAGTCGTGCTGGGCATAGTCCTAAAAAACTATTTCAGCAGTGTGACATGTTTCCCCAGGATTAAACAAGCTTACCTCTATTTTATTTAGTGGATACAGGAATCAGCAAAATATTTATATTACAATAATCCAACAAGATTGAAAAGAGAATAAAGACAAAAAAAAATTATAAGTAAATTGGAAATAAGAGAAGCTAGGCGAGAAAGAGAAGAAAGCTAAGTAGAAAGAGTTTTTTGTTTCTGATGATGGAGAATTGTATAACCAATGGTGGCTATTTATAGTAGTAATTGCATGGAACTTTGTTGTGCAGGGCAAGAAAGTGGCTGATGGATTTTGCCACTTTTTACACTTCTTTTGCCACTTAACATAGCCGTCTAGAAGGGCTAAGATATTTGTCCAAAGAGCTTTAAAATATTGCCACTAGATATGAACTGGTCGAAAACGGGTAATTCAAAAAATAAATAAATTATCCGGCCCGATCCGTATTTGAGACGGATAAAAAATGGGTTATCCGGCGGATAATATGGATATTCATATTATGCATCACTTCTTGAATATGATCACTTATGGAAGAATTCATAGTCTCTCAAACTTGAGGAACCCCCAATTTGAGGCTTTACAAATGTAAAAGTTAAACAAATTAGTTATCCATTTGGTTAACCATTTTCTAAGTGGATAATATGGTTCTTATCCATATTCGACCCGTTTCTAAAAAGTTCATTATCCAACCCATTTTTTAATGGATAATATAGGTGGATAACTGTTTTCTTTTAATCATTTTGCCACCCCTACCTCTGGCTATAGGTTATGCTATGTATTCCAATATAAATCAAAAGAAACTCCAATTAGAAAGTTGTCACTAACTTTATTCATATTTTTTTCTTTACCCAGAAATGGTGGGTGCGAACTCCACTCATGTGAGTTTGTTCATATTACCAGTCTCAATCTCGGGTAAAGGAGGATATGTGAGGTAATTTGACAACCGGCATAAAACTAGTTAATTTACGACGAATCCTCACTATACAGAAATTGTAATATTGGAATCAAAACGAGAGTACATGAAGCGAAATGGACATTGAGAATTCATACAGTCAATTCCAACTTGCTTAGGATTGAGGCATAGTTATTGTAGCCGGTGGGTGTGGGGTTTGAGAGGGGCGGAGCTTAGATGAAGCAAAATATTGGTCAATTCTGAGATGTAGAACAATAACTGAAAAGAAAGTTTATTCAAATTCTGACGGAATAGCAATGCAAACAACCATGGAGTATGCCAACTTCACAAGGAAGTAAAACAAGTCACGTTAACATACATGTCTTTTAATTGATTTCAAGACTTGAGCTAGCTTTAACATCTGCGAGGAACATCAATTTTGCATTGCTTAGGCAGTTTCATAGCAGCTGCAGGATCGATCCCAAGTTGGCCAAGTTCAGATTTCTTGTTGCACATACAACGCAAATCGGCTTTGTGCAGAGCTGCACAACAATCTGCTGTTGGTGGCGGAGGTTTCTGGCCCATGACTGCTGGTAGACATTCCGCGAGCTCATTAATTGTGACCCTGCAAATAGTTTTCGGAGTTCCAGCATTCGCCATATCAATGTACACTGTCATCAGTGCAAAAAACAACAAGGTCAACCATACTTTGGCCATTTTTGCTAAGTGCAGTTTGCTAGGCTTGTTACTAGGCAATGGTTTTTATATAAGTAACAAAGGATTGGAATGTGACAAGATCTGTGGTTGTTTATTCTCACTTTCGGTGACTGTATCTCATGTGAATCCAGCATGTGATTTCAGGGTCACGGACATTGGACCTTTTCCACACAAAACAGAACATTGACAATTTACTAATCTGGTGTCTGTAGCTTTCATCAAATTTTGAGATTGAGCCATGTGCATACTATTTGCAACTAATTTTCACCATATGAAAAATAAACTACAATCACAAAATAAGAGAAAAATATTTTTACTAATCAATTGTGAGTACAATTCTGCTTCTCCCTTGATTCTTCTCTCCTGATTATCTCCGTGATTCGAGGGCTGAAGCCGCGTATGTCTCGAATGTTGGATGATGCAGACTTTCTGGGATGTATTTGATCTCCAACTTCTTGAACTATTTGATTGTTAAGAAGTATCCGGCCATATTTTGATTTCTTTGTGAATACCCCAATAGTTTATGAGATTTTGAGACACCTCTTCAAGGGAATATGTGTCCCTTAATTTATATAGGTGCGAGTTAGGGTTTAGGATAGAGTAACCTCCAAGAAACCCTAATAAACTCCTAGAATTTCAAGAGTCCTCTAAAATTATATGGACAGTGATCGGAAGGAAGAGTGGATTAAGTGATGAAAACCTCCTCTTAAACCTTATACGGGAAAAAAAAAAAGGAACATGGGAGTTTTAAATGGTGCTGGGAGTTAACTGTTAGTCTGTTACAAATATTAAGAGAACTGTCGTGAATATTGTCAAATTAAAGGACAATAATATATTAATATGCCGCTCCACTACGGAAGCTATCCACCTTATTAGGAGGTTGGTGGAACAGTACAGGAATAAGAAGAAGGATCTGCACATGATGTTTACTGACTTGGAGAAAGCGTATGACAAGATCCCAAGGGAGGTGCTCTGGAGATGTCTTGAGGCAAAGGGCGTGCCGGTAGCCTACATAAGAGCGATTAAGGACATGTATGATGGAGCTAAGACTAAGGTTAGGACTGTGGGAGGCAACTCAGAGCATTTCCCGGTTGTTATGGGATTACATCAAGGCTCTACGCTTAGCCCGTTCTTATTTGCCTTGGTGATAGATGCACTGACACACCATATTCAAGGGGATGTGCCATGATGTATGTTATTTGCTGATGACATAGTTCTAATTGATGAGACGAGGGTCGGTGTTAACGAGAGGTTGGAGGTTTCGAAACAGACCCTCGAGTCTAAGGGTTTCAAATTGAGCAAGTCTAAGACAGAGTACCTGGAGTGCAAGTTTAGCGCTTAGTCGAGGGAAGTAGGCAGAGACGTGAGGCTTGGATCACAGGTCATCCCCAAGAGAAATAGCTTCAAGTACCTTGGGTCGGTGATTCAGGGGGACAGAGAGATCGACGAGGACGTCACTCATTGTATAGGGGCGGGCTGGATGAAATGGAGGCTTGCATCTGGAGTCCTGTGTGACAAGAAAGTGCCATCGATACTCAAAGGTAAGTTTTATAGAGCTGTGGTTAGACCGGCCATGTTGTATGGGGCGGAGTGTTGGTCGATTAAGAACTCCCATATCCAGATGATAAATGTAGCAAAGATAAGCATGCTGAGGTGGATGTGCGGGCACACTAGGATAGACAAGATTAAGAATGAAGATATTCGGAAGAAGGTGGACGTGACCCCTGTAGATGACAAGATGCGGGAAGCGAGACTCAAATGGTTCGGGCACGTGCGGAAGAGAAGCCTTGATGCTCCGGTGAGGAGGAGGTGTGAGCGGTTGGCCGTGGTGGGTACGAGAAGAGGTAAATGGCGGCCTAAGAAGTATTGAGGAGAGGTGATCAGGCAGGACATGGTACGACTGCAGATTTCCGAGGACATGACTCTTGATAGCAAGGTCTGGAGGTCAAGCATCAGGGTTGTAGGTTAGGGGGTAGTAGAGCTTTCCTTACTTCATACCCGGGGTGAGGCAAGGTTGGATTAGGGTTAATCTTAGATGGCTTGCAGTTTATGTTGAGACCACACTATCTTTGCTGTTCATCTTAGCTCCGGGCCTTAGATACTGATTAATGTTATTGCATGTCATTTATCTTTTGGTTGTTATGCTTCTGTTACTATTACAGTTTCTATTGGAGTTACTAATGAATTGTCTTTTCTTATTTTTTATTTCCGTCTTTCTGAGCCGAGGGTCTATCGGAAACAGCATCTCTGCCGTATCGGGGTACGGGTAAGGTGTGGGTACACATTACCCTCTCCAGACCCCACTTTGTGGGATTTTAGTGGGTAGTTGTTATTATTGTTGTTGTTATTAAGACAGTCTAAATTTGAGTATCTACCAGAGGTTATGGTTAAATTTTAGAGACAATTGATAAGTTTACTCCACTTAATAATGATTTATAACTGGAAATAGGTTTCAATCCTCAGATAACAGCAACAACAATGACGAGCCAGTAAAATTTCACTAGTGGGATATGGAGCGGGTAGTGTGTACGCAGACCTTACCCCTACCCCGAAGGAGTAAAGAGGCTATTTCCGAAAGACCTTCGGCTAAAAAATAAAAAAAGACAAAAAAAGACAATATCAGTACCACCCCAGAAATCATAGGAAAAGTAACAACATGGGAACCAGAAGATAGATGCAAAGCAAAAGCGATAACCAGTAAATTAACCCGGTACTCCGAGAAACAAAAGAGTAGTAAGACACAACATTGCCACTAGCTATCTCACTAGCCTCACAGAGGTATGAAGTAAGTAAAATACAACTACCTCCTAGCCTACAAGATATATGACTTTTCTTCATTTGAAAACTAACAATGTAAAAATAAGGTTATTTCGCCACCTTTTACAAAAGATAATAAGTAACCTATTTCAAAAATGCTGGATAAAAATCGACTAGCCCATAAACGAGATACCAAAATGCTATTTAGTCTTATAAAACCACTAGGGTATTTTCAATCTTCTCCTCTACTACAGAAACGTTTGGAAGCATACACAAAAACCATAAATGGGCAACACTAACAAGCTTCACATCGTTTCATGAACTCAAATCTTAAGATACATCATATGCAAGCATAAACTGAGGCTTTTATATATATACAGAACATAAACAAGGCAGCAGCAGCATCTTAAATGTACAACCCAACAAAACATAGTATGGCAGGTTGATAATCATATTTACATTTCTGTAACTGCCTATGAACACCAATCCTATTTCAAAAGGCATATTAAGCTACAAATTAGAACTCTGCAAATAACCCATAGAACAAATTCTACCAATAATTTACCTTCGAGCAAAACTTACAAAACCTAAACAAGTGAAGGAGAATGCAGCTGAACTTTCCTCCAGGAATTGGGCTAAATCATGTTAAAGACAAAACAAGTTAGCATCAGCACCATTACCTGCAAATAGAAATGGTTTCTTAATACTCTGCCGTAGATAATCTCATGCAAGTGGATATACAAGTTTACATCACAAATCACATGAGACAACAACAACAACGATCCAGTAAAATCCCACAAGTGGGGTCTGGAGAGGGTAGTATGTACGCAGACTTTACCCCTACCCCAAAGGAGTAGAGAGGCTGTTTCCCGAAGACCCTCGGCTCAAGATAATAAGAAAAACAAAAAGGAGAGAATATTAGTTTCACCACAGAGATCATAAGAAAAATAGGAACATAAAATGCAGAAGGAAAAATGCAAAACAAAAATGATGGCTAGTAAATAGGTCCTGCACCGAAAAGAGAAAATAGTAAGACACTGCAACGCCCCTAGCTATTTCAGACAAAAACCCTACCAGACCAGGCTCACAACAGTACAAGGTAACGCAAGACTCAGCTACCTCCTAGCCTACAACCGTAATACTCGACCTCCATAACTTCCTATCAAGTGTCATGTCCTCGGAAATCTGAAGCATCGCCATATCCTGCCTGATCACTTCTCCCCAATACTTCTTAGGCCGCCCTCTACCTCTTCTCGTTCCCTCCACAACCAGCCGCTTACACCTCCTTACTGGAGCATCTGGGCTTCTCCTCTGTACATGTCCGAACCATCTGAGCCTCGTTTCCCGCATCTTGTCATCAATGGGAGCCACGTGCACTTTCTCCCGAATATCATCATTTCTAATCTTGTCCATCCTAGTGTGCCCGCACATCCACCTAAACATCCTCATTTCTGCTACTTTCATCTTTTGGATATGTGAGTTCTTAACAAGCCAACACTCAGCCCTATATATCATCGCCGGTCTAACCACCGCTTTATAGAACTTACCTTTGAGTATCGTTGGCACTCTCTTGTCACACAAAACTCCGGATGCTAACCTCCACTTCATCCATCCTACCCCAATACGATGTGCGACATCCTCATCGATCTCCCCTCCCCCGTGGATAACCGAACCAAGGTACTTGAAACTGCCTCTACTTGGGATAACCTGTGATTCAAGCCTCACATCCACACCCACTTCCCCCGGCTCAGTGCTGAACTTACACTCCAGGTATTCCGTCTTCGTTCTGCTCAGCTTGAAACCTTTAGACTCAAGAGTCTGTCTCCAAACTTCTAGTCTCCCGTTAACCCCGGCTCGTGACTCATCAATCAGAACTATGTCATCGGCAAATAGCATGCACCATGACACCTCCCCTTGAATATGGTTTGTTAATGCATCCATCACCAGGGCGAATAAGAACGGACTGAGCGCAGAGCCTTGGTGTAACCCCATTTCACATGAGAGCAACCACAAATAACAAAAGAAAAATTGATAGTAATGGATAACATAACCATAACCGAGAAATATGAACACTATTATTATGAAATATAAACTACATATGACAAGCCCAATAATTTTTAAAACTAAAAGCAGCAAGTTCAGCTAAACAGAACAATATGAAATAGAATAACTAAAAAAAAGGGCAAGCATGAGAAGAACCTAAACCCAACTTTCCTGGATATAGCCTTTACATTGTCAAACTACAGTTGCTCACTCTGCCCATTATGTCATTATGTGCTCAACCAATTAGGCATTAATTATGAGGATATTTCTAATAGAATCATGATCTTGAAAGATTGTAGGTGATCAATAAAAAGAATTTGCTAATATAGAAGTGACAAAAAGAGATATACATAGAGAAAAAAGATACAATAAGACGTAATAGAAGGAAGCTCAAAAATTTACATATTCAAGATATGCATTTTTGTAGCTACAGTTGTTGAAGTTCTTTACAGTCTTTATACACTACAAACATGATACCCAAAAGTGGTGCAATATTTACAAGATGAATTTCAGAATATTTTCTTTTTGGTTTTTCAGATTATGATTCTGTAAGCCATTGCCATTGTGATAGACACATACAGCCTTTTGAATTGTAAATTTGAAATAGTACTCTTTAATTGTCTTTTGTAGACCTAGTATCAACTCCATTGCCTTTTAAAAAAAAATAAAAATTCCATTGATCTTTATCTGACTCAGCTTATTCTTTTTGTTACCTTGAAAGGTTTGGAATACATAGTGAGACTGTGCTTAACAAAAAAAGCCTCACGACTGCACGTAAAACTTGCTTAATTATTAGTAGTTTGATATATAATTACAAAATCTTTAAAGAAAATGGAACCCCTTTAGAAACAAATTGCTCCACATCAAGTAATAAAAGGGATCATGAAGAAAACTACATACGCTATGTTAACCAGTCAGATCAGTGGTCACGATTTCTTAAAAAGGTGATGTCTTGCCAACATCTCCTGTATGCCAAGTGCAGAAATACTTTCACATCCTAGAAGGTCTTGCAATTTTGCGTCACACCGTATGACCATCGCATTCAAAGGGTCCTGGAAGTTGGGAAAATAAATTACGGTAATGAAATTCTCAAACATATACTGTAAGGGAATTCGAAGAAGCAAGAAGCAGGTTGCAAAATAATCTCATGAATTACACAAAAGGAAAAAAGCAAGAACAAGAGATTGATAACTAATGATCTGCTCAAGAAAGTAGTAGTTGTGGGGGAACAATTGATCTATCATTTGATCTTACAACTCAAGGAAAACTAAAAGAGAATAAACATAATACAACGGGAATCCAACACCAATAGTTGAATATTTCCAACATACAATTGGGTAATTCAACATAGTTGCATAGCTTTTTTTTGAGAAGTAACATTTGCAATAGAAGTATTGATGCATATATTGATAAAAAGATGAAAATAACGCAGTGGAAATCATTCATCACATGCTATAGACCTGCAATTATTAGCATGGCGGCAGATATTTCACAAGATAAACACAACCACAAATTCAAAGCATATGCAGGGGAAACAGTAACCCAAATTTTTATTAGGACAGTTCCTAATGATTAACATTAAACTACTCTCTTGATGCAGATTATGAATGTCTGTAATCATGAATGCTTGTTTGATGAATTACATGTGCAGATGAAGTAAGACATCAGGTACATACTTGAGGGAAATACTTTCCTTAAATTTAGCTGAGTTCTCATAATATGTATAAACTGAAACTAATCATGAAATGTTTACTTGGCTAGCTTTGCGGAGAGCAATGTGAACTAAAGCGTAAATAGGTTACTACTCTACTTAAAGTTAGCTAAGTACTCATAATGTGTGTAAACTGAAACTAATCATGAAATTGCAGTAAAAAGGCAGACTACTGGACAAACTAATATAGACTGGAAATGTTCACTTGGCCACCCACCTCAAGATGATTCACCTTTATATACTCCCAGACCTGCCTCAAAACCTCTGCTTGTGTCATCTCCCTTTCTGAAGTACCCAAAAAGTTTGCAAGTGCTTCTGATATTATCACAACTGGAGCAGCTTCCTCGCTTTTACTACCAGATTCCACCTCAGTCTTTACTCTTTTAGGGTTCTGGGCAGTCTGCTCTGTACATGTCATAACCAATTGACAGTTCTATTTAAGGGTCAGAAAGACCAGACAAAAAACAGAGAGAAAACAATTGCTGGTGGAATCATACTTGAAGGTTCGAGAGTGACTATATGTTTAGCTAGCAGTCTATTCATCTTGAACATATCGGTACAATCCGTATCAAATACCAAACGCAGCTCATCGTTGCAGATAATCTTCCTTTTGTTATTTGGATCTTGAAGATTATGTTTCCTTATGTATGCCCACAGCTGCTTGACTATCTGAGTTCGGAATGGAAAAGTTTAAGCAGAAAAAGTAGAAACCATCTTTAACCAAAAAGATCAACAAGAAGAAAGGAAAGGTCGCAATCTGAACATCGAAACCTCAGTTCTCGGCAAAGTTGCCTGGCCAACAATGGTTTGGAGCTCAGGAGAGACACCACAGAGTTTGTTTAATCCACCAGGGCCACCTCTTCTTTTCTTTCCACTTTGACCACTAAAGTACAAGACAAAATCACTCATTAAACCTATCAGCAGTAAACTCTCAGAATAAAGCATTAATTAATTTAACATAATGCAGCAGCAGACAAATATTACACAGTGAAGTTGCACCAGAATTTTCGGTTACAACCTATATGGTCAGGAGGGTGCAAAAAGAAGCTTCCATTACAAGTATTTTCCATGAAAGTTGGTGCGCATACTACAAGATAATGATGGTGTTACACGTCACCAGTTTTCTTCATTTATTGGCACCTTCATCAAGACTTCAATTATTAGAACCTTACTATCTTGCTGGTAACGGCCTATATCTCCACCACCACTCCCCCACCCCACCCCAACGGCAGAAAAAGAAAAAGAAAAAGAAAAGGAAAGGGAGAAAAAAACATGGAGAATAAATCTTTTGGAAACAAGCCCTTTTCAGTATTTTATCCATGATTATTGATAATAATTTATTCAACTCAAAGACCACGAGTAAAAGAATTACAAACAAAAATAATTTTAGCTGACTGCAAAAGAAAAAGATACTTTAAATTAGTTTGATTTCCCCAATTTTGACAGCAGATAGACTACCTACATGTTACAGCAGCTTAAGGAGATACATATGTCAAAACTCATGCTTTCATCACATCTATCTGTTTAGCTGACCTACCAAAAATAATCTATCTGTTTAAGTCGACCAATGAAATTCTACAATATAGTAGCATTGAAATTTCAGCTGGTAATCAATTAACTTATCCTTTGCCGATTAAAAAAAAAATCAGTTCATTTAAGATGCCATTTTTTGTTTGATGTGAGATATCGTGGACAATAAATTTACTCACTGTAAGAAACTTCTTCCATATGTAACAAGTGTTTGTCATGATTTTTCGCTTAAGTAATATATTAAAGCTTTTAAAATCATCAATAACACGGCTGATATTTACGCTAGCACCCATTCAAGATGGCCTAAACTGATGCATACACTCAACTCCAAACCAACAAAATCCCCACAAACTTTGTTCCTATATTACCTTCCATGCATTGGGTACAAGTAAGGACCATTTCATTCTTAAATTGCAATGACTGGAAAAAAGATGAGCTTTTCCTAAGTTCTACCTTACAACCTCAAACTGGTAAAAATATCAGAAAAAAGTAAAGTAATCCTCTTAAATGCAAGCAGTTAGTGCCCAACATAATTCAACCAAGACTTCAGCCTAACGTGGTTCTTTAGAAGAGACATAGAAATCAACTAAAGCTGAAATTCATTTGGCGAGAAGATGAGGGGAACTTTGTCTAACATGCAAAAGAAGTTCCACTACCTCACCAAACTAAGAATCTTTCCAATTTGTGTGAAATTCTTTACTTTTTAGTCAACCCAAAATAATGAGACACACAAATGTTTAAACCACAAGTTCCAAAAGTCTTTCTTTTCTTCGTTAAACTTTACGTCCAATCAAACATCATCACATAAATTTAGGACTGAGGGAGTACTAGAATTTATTTTATTATTTTAAAAAGAAAGAGTACCCACTAACCTCTCTTTTGGGGGTTCAGAAGCAGCTGCCACTGCAGGAGCCGCCGCGGCATGTGCAGTGGGAAAAGGCTCAGACTTGGAAACCGATTGTGGCAGGTGGTGATGGGGTGAAGGTGGGGGTGGGCGGAAGGAGTAATCGTGGGGACGATGGGACACACCAGAATCAGGAGGGTAGGCTTGGAAATTGGGGCGATGGGAATGGAGGGAAAAGTGGTGATTTTGATGGAGGAGAGGAGGCTGAGCGTGGTGGCGATTGAAGAGGTCTTGGATGTTAGCACGAATGAAATCAACTTTGTGAGAGAGGTCATATCCGCCAAGCTTGGACTGAAGCTGCTGAAGAATGCCGGTGAATGTTGGGTTTGGGTTAGGGTTTGGTTCCCAGAAGAGAGACTCCAATGCTCGAGCTATGTCCTCATCGGAAACCGCCATTGTTGTCCCTCTCTCGCTCATGAGTACTACTACTATTATCCTCAGTTGCTTACCGGCCCCGTTTCTCCCTAACTGAAATTAACGGTTTCTTTCTCTGTCCGTCTCTCTCTGGCAGCTCTTTAATTTACCTCTTCACCCCACCCCCCTCCCCCCATAACCCACCACTCTCTCTCTCTCTAAAAAACAGATGCTTTTCATTCTCACTCTTGTTGATTTTGAATGACCAAATTACCCTTTCTGATTGCCCTTTTGAGTCGCCGTTAGGGGTCGTTTGGTAGGATGTATAAGAATAGTGCAGAATAAGATGTATTAGTAATGCAAGTAATAGTTATCCAGATATTATTTCTTATCTACTGTTTGGTGTGATGTATTAAAAATTATAATGCACTGCATAATTTTTAAGAAAAATAGTTGTTTAGAAAAATGCTCTCCATATTCTCTAGCTTTAATGGACTTAAGGATAATTTTGTCTTTAACCATACTGATGCATGCATTAATTGCCTTGGTATTACTAAGGTCAAGATTTTCTATGCATTACTTATACATAGGATAATGCCAACTATGATGTATAAGTTATACACATGTTGAAAAAAATATACCAAACAAGGTATTAGTAATGCATAGAGCTAATGCTTGCATTATTTTTTTTTTTATAATACCTCCTATCAAACGACCCCTTAGTGTCACGTCCTTAGTCTACAACTAAGGAGTCGTTTGGTAGCCGGTTAGGGAGAAAGTTATTCATGTATTAGGGATAACATAACTTATACCATGTTTGGTAGGCATTAGTTATTTTGTACAAAATTCAGCATAACTAATACTCCCCCCGTTTCAATTTATGTGAACCTATTCCCTTTTTAGTACGTGCCAAAAAAAATGATATCTTTCTATATTTGGAAAGAATTTACCTTTATGCATTGATTTATAGCAACACAAAATATATGTGTCTCATTTTACACCACAAGTTCAAAAGTCTTCACTCTTTTCTCTTGATCTCCGTGCCCAGTCAAATAGATTCACATAAATTGAAACAGAGGGAGTATCGTGTTTGGTTGACATTTTACAATTCCACATAAATAATACATGTATAAGTTATGAGTCAATCTGTGTATTATTTTATGCGGGGGGAGAAGATGGAATAACTAATACATATATTAATAATACATGGATAAAATACTAAAATGATAAATTTACCCCTATCAATTTACCACAAATCATTGCCATTTTCTCCAACAAACTTTACACTGTTCGTTTTCTCCAGCAAATAACAATCTTGTGCTATGATGTTTTTGAATTACTAAATAAAGTGTGTAACAATATAGCAAAAAATTCAACCAAAACCCAAGAAAGAATTATATACACTACAATTAGCATGGCCCTATTTTTTTTTGAATTTCACGTGCATTACTCAAGGACTAATGATAGAAACTATGCGTCCACCAGACTGTAACCATATTCTCTATCAATTCCCACTGTAAGCAACAGACTATAAAGCCAACAAGTATAGGGAATCAGGTTCTCTAATTATTCCCACAGTAGCTCGACAGTAAATAAAAAACACAGAGATTTTTACGTGAAAAAATCCCACTCAAGGGGACAAAAATCACGACCTACACTTGTAGGCTTTCAACTTCACTAACTTGTAATCTCACTATTACAAGCCACTTTGTAATGACTCTATTACAAATACTTCAACTTAACTAACTTGTGATACTCTTACCACAAGACACTTTGTCACTCTCTAGTTACAAAGACTTTAACTTAACTAACTTGTGATACTCTTACCACAAGCCACTTTGTCACTCTCTAGTTACAAAGACTTTAACTTAACTAACTTGTGATACTCTTACCACAAGCCACTTTGTCACTTTCTAGTTACAAAGACTTTAACTTAACTAACTTGTGATACTCTTACCACAAGCCACTTTGTCACTCTCTAGTTACAAAGACTTTAACTTAACTAACTTGTGATACTCTTACCACAAGCCACTTTGTCACTTTCTAGTTACAAAGACTTTAACTTAACTAACTTGTGATACTCTTACCACAAGCCACTTTGTCACTCTCTAGTTACAAAGACTTTAACTTAACTAACTTGTGATACTCTTACCACAAGCCACTTTGTCACTTTCTAGTTACAAAGACTTTAACTTAACTAACTTGTGATACTCTTACCACAATCCACTTTATCACTCTCTAGTTACAAAGACTTTAACTTATGACTAACTCTAGTCACAACACAAACTTAGAGGGTTTGTGATTTTGGGTTTCCTAAAACACAGCTTCTAAGAAAGCAAGATAGGAGTTACAAATGAAGAACAAATAACAAAGACTCAACAAACCTAAGGACTTAAGATATCTTCAATCTTGGATCCGATCTTTGAGGTTGCAATAACTTTGTTCTTGAGAGAGGTTGTGGCAAGCACTTGAGATAATATCTTCTTTTGATTTTTGCACGTGTTCGAGTCAATGTCTTGTGTTGTGCACTAGGTTTATACTACAAAAGACATCACTATGGTGATGTCAATTCTTGGTTAGTACATGCCTTTTCCTAATGGGAAGTGACTGCTGCACTATCTGATGCACTATCGTGTGTACAGTTGCAGGCAGTCACTTTCTGCAGTTGCTTTCCAGCTATATAGTTGACTTATACTTCTGTCAGGGGAACACTAAGGGATCAGGTCCCTAATCTGGTTCTTGTGAATCTAAAGGCACATTGCCTAGATTATCTTAAGTCGATTAACTTGAATGATTGTACCAGGCATGCTTCAGGTCCTTTATCTGGTTCTCTCATGAAGTAAGTTAGTTTATCTTCCTTGATTGTATTTATACGTGTGTGACATCACTTACAATGATGTAAGCAAGGTAGGTAAAAAGCCTTTCACAGAAAGTTAACTGCTGGACTGTTCCTGTACAGTAGCGTATGCAGGCAACAACTTTCCTGCTAGAGAGTTGACTTCATACAATCTCCTCGGTGTCACGACCCAAATCGATGGGCCGCAACGAGCACGTGGTACCATACTCAACCGAGTACTAACATAACATATCTTTTCTTATTACATCATCATATACACGTGACATATGGGCCTAATAGGCTAACATAATCATTTATAAACTCAAAATATAGGCCGATATGGCCGTACAATCTTTCACGTATACGACATATGTCTACAAGCCTCTAAGAGTACATAAATATCA